AGACCCACTTCCTCAGATCAAATAGTGGAAGAAAATAGTCACAACCATATATACCAAAGGATACAATTAAAAAAATGAACACAATATATATCCTTTGGTATATATGGTTGTGACTATTTTCTTCCACTATTTGATCTGAGGAAGTGGGTCTGGCCCACGAAAGTTCATCATCTAATAAACCATCTTGTTAGTCTTTAAAGTGCTACATTGTCCTGCATTTTGCAATAATTTATCATGTCACCCTTATTTCTGCACTGGGGTGGATGAATCTTTTTCATCAGACATAAACATACAGCCGTTAATCCTCAGCTTAAACTTCGGCATCGGGTTACCCAGCAGTAAATATTGCTTTAAAGTGGCATCCTGAAACCCAAGATATGATGCAGAGAGCACTGTAGTTAAACATTGGGCACACACTATCACAGTCTTCTATTTAGCTCAGCTAAGGAATAATAACAATACTTAGAAGTTACATTGTCTTTTTTAGCCAAGGATCTCCAATCAAATTGCCAAATGACCAGTGCCAGATTGTGTTTCCCTTACTCACACTGAGTACCTTAGTCCTCGAGTAATTTCACTGAAAACAATGGGACTAAGCAAGGAGTAAGATGCTGTTCAATCTGCATAAGGGTCTCACAATCTACCCCCCAAAAACTAAGCCTCAAGACCCCATGGGAAAGGTGGTATTACTCCTGCTTTATAGACAGATAAATGTAAAGAGAAGTCTTGTCCGAATCCACAAAGAAAGTCAGTATCAGAGGCAATAATAAAATCCAGATGTCCTGCTCCCAGCTCTAACTAGATGCAATCTGTACTTAACTTCTCTTTATCAATATTATCTGCCAAATAATAATAAAATGCTAGAGAATTGGAACTCAAGTGAAAGACTTTCAGATCCCGAGATGAAAGGGGCCATGTAAGCCCCAACGTGTTATGTACACAGTTGGGTGAACTCTAAAATTATTAAGGACCCTTTATTCAGTCATTAATTTTCCATGATAAGACTTCTCACTTTACAAATTGGCATATTATTTCAAACTATCCAATGGATGGTTTTGCATTACCCAAACCCAGCCAACAGCTCACTAGCAAACTATTTACTATGATTTACTGGATTCTTTGCATCATCAAGTTAGGATTATTGGTCATTGCCATTCCAACTCTGTGAGCAATCACTTCGGTCACATGGTGCTGTTTCTGCTTTTTGATTCAATTACTCCACAATTCACCAAATGGTTCAAGATGGCCCCCTGAACATTACCATATGCCAGGGTCGGCCCACAATATTGTGGCACCTGAGGTGGGGAGCTCAAATGACACCCCCACGTCCCCTCGCTTGGGCCAAAACTTTGAAAGGGCTCAATTCTGCCTTCTTCCTGTTCTACTCCTCTCATGGGACTGCTCTGCTACCTACATATGCACCAGCAGCAGACACAATTTTCTACACTCTGAGTCCTAGTGGTGCCCCCCCCCCCCCCACAGTCTGATACTTGAGGCGGCTGCCTCAGGTCGCCTCATATTAAGGCCAGACCTGACATATGCACTAATAGTCAGAACACTTTTGCCTTCTGTAAACCTTCTTATAAACAAAATGTTACTGGTACACAGGCAAAGAAACAGAGTCACCAATACTCCCAACTCAAATCCATCAATGTTCTTCCTTGGTACACGCCTGAGTACTTTCCTGAAATATACCACCAGCTGTAACTATGAAACTGTGAGCAGTACCTCATCCATAGGCAGCGGGTGAAGGCCCAGGTGGGGAAGACAAATCCAAGCCCTGCCCCTTCTGCCCAAAGCCACACCCTTTCAGCAACCTCCCTTCTACCCTCTGCCCAGGCCTCTCCCAGCCGGGCTCTGAAACCCACCCCTCTCCCTAGGCTTCAGAGCCCCAGCTCAAGCCAGAACTGCAATGTCAAAGTGCGGTCTACAGCACTATTTTTAGAGCATTAGCACAAGCCCACAAATATAAATCTGTCAACCCAGGCTGGGAGGTTTGCCATCCAAATAGGATCTTGAACACCTACATCCCTTTTGAAAATGGGGCTTAGGTGCATTAAAAAATGTTATCCTTTATTTTTTGTTGCCTACGATTTTTGAACAACCATCCAGAGCCACCTACAAATCAGTGCTGAAATGCATTTCCTGTGATTCAAACTGGTTCCAGAAGTCCCCATTCATCTTCTCCCTCTTTGCCATAGCAAAGCAAACACTCGTCTTGCCCACCCCAAGCTTATCAGCCGCCGGACATTAATGTGAGTGCTATGGGAAATTTCATTTCCTGCATCTAGTGCTGCTTGTAACAAGCCTAGTAGCATATTTGTAAGAGGAACGTCAGTTAAAAATTCTTATTATTAACCCTTTGGAGATTTCCGAGAGACAGGCCAGAATTTCCAGAGGGCTGAGCAGCTGCTATCAGGTCCTGATTTTTAAGAAATCTCCCGATTTAGATACCTAAATAAGTAGCCAGATTTTTCATAAGAATTTAACACTCAGCAACTTGCATTGGGAATGTTTTGTCAGAACTTTCCAGCTTAGGGAATTACAAACAAACAAACAAACAATCCCCAAAACAAACAAAAAAAACAAAAAACAAAAACAGAAAACATTTTTTTAAAACCTACCAACATTTTTTTAAAACAAACTTTTTTTTTGGTTTCTGGCTTTTCTATGGGAAACTGTAACATTTTCATGGGAAGTTTTGAGGATAGAAACTTTAAAAAAAAATTTAGGAAAAATAATTGGCATTTTCCCACCAGCTTCATTCCTTTGAAAGATCTACCCCTAATTGTGGGTGCTGAACACTTTTGACAGTCTGGTTCAGTTTCTGTCTTTCTGTATCTACACAGCGATAGAGCTTCGTGTCCAAGAAATTGGCACATTTGTGGAAATAAGTTAAATTTTAGAAATGAATTCAAGTCAGTGAATGAATTCTACAAAGTGAGCTAGCGGATCTATATAAATTAAGAAAATCTTAGCAGAGTCTACACTTCATATTCCTGTATACCTGACTATTAAGAGAGGGAGATGAAGAATATCTTGTGGAGCATCAAATTGTTACATGTGCTGCTGTACCTGAAAGAGATGATGAATTCAGGCACTGATCCTGCCCAACGTAGGTGGGGAGTGTTACACATGTCAGGGAAAGATAAAATGGTGCTAAACAGGGCAGGGAACCCAGAGTGTATTAATGAGAGCTGGGCTAACTGGTTCCCGAATGCTTC